AATGAACTGTCTCTATTCCTTCGTATTCCAACATTCCTTTTTCGCGACAGTGTTTGTATGGGCATGGAAAATTCCGTCGGATTTGAATCTGCTTCCTTCTTCTTTGTGCCTTGTGATGTACTTCATCCTCAGAATCAGAATTATCTGAGATGATCTTCTGCTTCTGCTGGTGCTGCTGATGCTGGTGCTGGGTAGAGGATGTTTCACCACCTTCCGTTAAAACATTGAGGAATTCAATGTTTGTGCGGTGGGGATAATCAGTCTGCATATCAACAGGAGGTTGATAGTAGGGATCAAAGTGATAACCACCACAGTGACAAACTGCCAGAGGTTTATCAGCAGACTTGTGAATTGAAGGAAATTGACAACGAACTGTTTGATGTTGTCATGCTGATGCGCCTTTACCATTATTAGTGGAAGACATGGTGGGCCCCCTTTTATTCGATAATCTTATTACACTTCAGTCAATACTCAGTTTTCCCACTGAGAAAAGCTGTGTGATAAAATTATTCGATCTTATCTTTAGTTTGTCGTTTTGCTAGATATTTGTGGAAAGGTATTTCACACTATCTAAAGTTTGGTGTCGTGTTGTTAGATATTTGTAGAAAGGTTCTACATTATCTAAAGGTTTGTCGTGAAGTTTGAATAATTGTGTAAAAGAATCTTACTTTTTCTAAAGTTTGATTCTGCTTTAGCTATGCTTTATTAAAAGTCGATTATTGAGAAAGGGAGGTCATGTGTAAACTTTCTCTATAAAAGGCTGTGTCTAGTATTAGTTCAAGTATGAAAAGAAATTAGAACAACTACATTTGATACTTGAAAAATAGTCGAGTCTTTTGTAAGTCTTCTGTAATCAAGTTTGCCAGCTATAATAAAGTTTGAAGTTTCCGCTGTTTTCTGTAAGTAAGGTTTCTATCTAGTTTGTTCGTCGGAGAAGAATTGTCGGAAAAACTATGGTCGAAAATGCCTGGAGATCTTGGAGAAAGAATCAAGAAGGCATACCATGAACGACATGCAGGAAATATAATTGGCGTTGCACCCAGGATACTGTTTTCTTACAAGTATCTTGAAGCCGAGTGTAAAAATGCTGCTTTCCAGAAGTCACTCAGAAATCTGGAGTTTTGCAAGGAGATTCCAATTCCAATGATAATCCAGCCGCAAGGGCGTTGTCTTATTCCTACTGGAATAGCTCTACAAATTCCTTTTGGAATGTATGGAAGAATTGCACCTAGATCGGGCTTGGCACTGAAACATGGAATTCATATAGGAGCAGGTGTAATTGACCCTGATTATCGAGGAGAAGTTATGATACAGGATCTTAAAATTAAGTAAAGAACTAGATAGAAACCTTACTTACAGAAAACAGCGGAAACTTCAAACTTTATTATAGCTGGCAAACTTGATTACAGAAGACTTACAAAAGACTCGACTATTTTTCAAGTATCAAATGTAGTTGTTCTAACTTCTTTTCATACTTGAACTAATACTAGACACAGCCTTTTATAGAGAAAGTTTACACATGACATCCCTTTCTCAATAATCGACTTTTAATAAAGCATAGCTAAAGCAGAATCAAACTTTAGAAAAAGTAAGATTCTTTTACACAATTATTCAAACTTCACGACAAACCTTTAGATAATGTAGAACCTTTCTACAAATATCTAACAACACGACACCAAACTTTAGATAGTGTGAAATACCTTTCCACAAATATCTAGCAAAACGACAAACTAAAGATAAGATCGAATAATTTTATCACACAGCTTTTCTCAGTGGAAGACTGAGTATTGACTGAAGTGTAATAAGATTATCGAATAAGAGGGGCCCACCATGTCTTCCATTAATAATGATAAAGGCGCATCAGCATGACAACATCAAACTGTTCGTTGTCAATTTCCTTCAATTCACAAGTCTGCTGATAAATCTCTGGCAGTTTGTCACTGTGGTGGTTATCACTAACAGCGGCTCGTGCTACGGCTTCAAGCTTGAGCTGTTGTATCTTGACCAACTGTTGGAGAGCTGTTCGGGCCTGTCCCATAGCATCATCTTCTTCATTGGATAACAGGGCCTGGATTTCTGCATATTCATCTCCACTGATTCCATGGTCAAAGGTGAACCGGTCTTCAAGTCTCTGGAGAAGAGACTGGTATTCTGCAGCATGAGGGTGTACTGTTGGATCAATCCAACGGTTTGAAGGCTCAGATTGTGATAGCCTGATTCGTTCTTCTCGTAGCAAAGCTGGGTAAGTTCTTCTATTTGGTTGAGCCCTGCTAGAACCTCCATACTGTCCTTGTCCTCCTCGATTGGCCATTCTGAAAATAAACAAAGAGTGAACACAAGTCTGGATAAAGCATCAGTCAAAGCAGCATTTTTACACTCGGCTTCAAGATACTTGTAAGAAAACAGTATCCTGGGTGCAACGCCAATTATATTTCCTGCATGTCGTTCTCAGCTGTTTTGTTAAAGAAGCTGATTATGGCCTGACAATCAGTTCTTAGTGTAAGATGTCCCTTGTCAAGATAATATATCTTGAATGCTTCCAGTGAATTTATGCAGGCATAGATCTCGGCATCTATAGTGGATTTAATGGGACTGAATTTTCCACTAGCATAAGCACAAATTCTTTCTGTCGAATGAGGATCCTTTAGTGCCTTCTTCCATTTACAGACTCCTCCCCATCCTTCCATGCAGCCATCTGTTTCGAGAATAATGACACATCCCTCGGGTGGAATTGACAGATTTGGTAGAGTTTGGATTCGTCTTTTGATTTCTCGGATCAAGCTCCAATCCTGAGAGTTGAGACGCCTTTCTCCTTTTGGGCTGACTTTCGAGTAGAGTGGGCTTAACATTCGGCCCAAGTCCTTGATGTAGCTGCGTGCATAGTTGAGCAGGCCTAACCAAGATCGTAACCCTTTGGTTTCCTTAAGAGTTTCATCAGGAAAATTTGCCACCTTGGTTATGATATGGGTTTGCAGCTTGATTTCTCCATGTCCTATTGTGGAACCCAAGAAATCTATTTGTATTGCAGCAATTTTCATCTTTGTTGGACTCAGAATTAGCCCATGCTTCTTGCAGATTGCAATCATCGCCTGAATATGCTTCTCATGAGTTTGCTCATCTGGTGAGAACACCAAGATATCATCAATGTAGACAGCAATAAATTCTTCTGTTCCTTTGAAGCATACGTCCATCTTTCTTTGGAAAACGGCGGGAGCATTTTTCAATCCAAATGGCATTACCAGCCATTCATAGAGTCCTAATGGAGTCCAAAATGCCGTCCATTCAATGGAGTCAGGATGCATTGCAACTTGATGAAATCCACTCTTTAAATCGAACTTAGAGTAGATTTTGCTATGGCCAATTTTTGCCATAATGGTGTTGATGCCTGGCAAACTATACTGATCCTTATGAGTGTTGTCATTAAGCCGTTTGTAATTACAAACCATCCGCTCTTTTCCTCTCTTCTCTTCTTTTGTAACAGGATCAATATAAGTACCTGAATTGACAATAAAAGCAGTAGTTCGATGTCTGCTTTTACTGGATCGAATAACCTTTAACTCCAGGAGCTGATCTATATGCTTCTTAAAGCTTTCCTTCATTGCTGGAGTAACATGCTTCATTGGCTTATCATCAATGATAAAATCTGCATTCTTTAGGTCCAATCTGCATGTAATCTGGTTCTTTGACCACTGTTACATAGGATCTTCTCCTATTATTCCACAATTCTGCAAATACTTCATCAATTTTGGATATTTATCTTCAAATCTGGGAGCAAACGGATTATGCTCAATAGAGTGAAATATCCATTCTGCTGTTGAATCATAATAGTGGTCAATGAGGAAATCATCATCAACTTCAGCTTCCAAGGGATTGACGGACTGACGAGTTTGAATTGTAATTACATTCTTATAGAATGTAACATTGTCACCTTCAATGCGTACGCCACCATACATTGACCTAATGAAATTACAGCCAATGATCATCTGTATTCTTCCGCCAAGATGAAATGGGAAGCTGTATGTATACGGGATTCTGAACCAATTATCTCCGATGTACATTTTTCCTCCTCGCAGCTTCTTGTTGGCCTTAGACTATGAATTTATCCCATTAAATTCCACAGTGTAAGTATTTTCCTCCAATGCTTCTGATGGAACAGATTCCGAATCCACGACACACGTTGTGGCTCCAGTATCAAGGATAGCATTTAGGACAATCTTTTTCTGTACTCCTACAATTTCGAGCTCAACAGTAAGATTGTATAGCATGTTCTTCTTTTTCTCCTTGACTTCTCCTTTTGCGATTGTCTCCATCATCAGAAGTTGTTCAGAGGCTTCTGCTTCTTCCTCTAGAGCTTGTAGATCTTCAGCCTTGAATTTACCTCTTCCTCGAAGCTCTTGTTCATCTTTCTCCAGTTGAACTTGAAGTCTCAGTTCTTCCAGCTCAGTCTTGTATTGGATTGCCTCTTCCCGTAATCGTTTCATCTCTGCCTCACACCACCTGATGTACTCCTGTTGTTCTTGGAGTAATGGCTTCTGGTTATATGGGATTGGTGCTTTTTGCATGACGAATTTTGCAAATCCAAAATAATGATTGGCACATAACATGGAGAAATCAAGTTGCAGGCCCATATAATAACCAAGGTGGCCAATTTTTCTGAAGAAACCCTGAAGGAAACTAAGGGATTAAGGTCTTGGTTGGGCTTACTCAACTATGCACGCAGCTACATTAAAGATTTGGGCCGGATGTTAACCCCACTTTACTCGAAGGTCAGCCCAAAAGGAGAAAGGCGTCTCAACTCACAGGATTGGAGCTGGCTGGATTTTGTCCCTTGCATCAGTAAATCCTTGCATAGAGACATGCGCCTTTGTGCGCATGTCTCTATGCAAGGATTTACTGATGCAAGGGACAAAATCCAGCCAGCTCCAATCCTGTGAGTTGAGACGCCTTTCTCCTTTTGGGCTGACCTTCGAGTAAAGGGGCATTCTTTAAGCCAAATGGCATTACCAACCATTCATAGAGTCCTTGACATTCTTCTTGTCTTTAGTACAGTCACGAGCATAATGGCCTTCTTCTCCACAAAGATAGCATTTACAGTGCTTTGATTTCTGCAAATACTTTCGTTTGTCATTCTGCTGTTGGATCATAATAGTGGTCAATGAGGAAATCTTCATCAACTTCGGCTTCCAAGGGGTTGACGGACAGAAGGCCGGAGTGTACAACTTGTAGAAGAAATTTGGTAGCTCAATCCAGAGCATTCTGTGGCAAATGTAACGCTCTAACATGTGGCCTCTGAGTGTTTAATGATCATTTCTAGACTAATATATTTTACTTTCAAAGTTTGTATCTAATGAATTACTAAGATAAAGATAATACTTTTGCAATTCAAGACAAACCTGAGCTAAGGAATTAACTCCTTGTTCAAGTTTTTCTATCTTTTTGATCAAATGCTGAACAGAACCTTCAAGAGACTGGATTTGTAACTGCTGACTTCGAAATTCCTTTAAAGTGACTTTACTAGAAAGACAGACTCTATCGTAGATTACAGAGATGTTATGAGCTAGTTCTTTGGTACTAGGTTTTTCAGTATTGGCTAAATCAAGATAGCTTAGGCGTGATGTATTTGTGTTTGGGCGCTGAGGATAATCAGTTTCCACGTCGGTAGAAGGTTGATAAGAAGGATCAAAGTTGAGTGGAGTATCCTCTTCATCGTCAGAATGTGGCGGAGTATTGTCAAACTGAATCTTTGTGAAAGATTGGGATAGATCAAAATCACAGTCCCATCCGACAGCAATGGTGTGAGTTTCAGCTTCATCCTGCATTAACGTTGAGCCCTGGTATGGATCTTCTAATGTGAATACAGTTCTCATTTGAGAGAGAATATTCTGCGTCCCTTCATTACCATCTCCCATGGTAACAAGATTGTTGAATTCCCCGTCATACTTCATGCGCCATTGAGTCCATATAAGTTTCTCTGTTTCTCCCAACATATTCTCAATGTACTGGATTTTGTCCCTTGCATCAGTAAATCCTTGCATAGAGACATGCGCCTTTGTAATAGATTCCCACCTCATAAATACTTCATCAAATTTTCCTAGTTGGTGAGGTAATATGAACATGGCTCCAGTTGAATGCATAGCTGATGGCAAATTCCACCACTCACTTTTATCATCTCTTCTAAAATTTCTGAAATTAACTCTGGAGTGTCCATCATATGTCGGTCTCTGGGGAATGTTGATTGGTCCTTGCCCAGTTGCTGGAGGATATCCAGGAGGACCCATCATTGTATCCTGCGGGGGAGTGTAATTTGAAACAGCTGATGAAGAGAGAACATATTGAGGGTTTTGCTTGCTGTGCTTCATGATAAGCTGCTCCAATTTCTTTACTTGTGGGTATTCAGTTTCCCCTTCCTCCATCATGGCTATGATATTCAGGGTGGAGTTCGAATCAGAATCCGAATCCATAGGCTCCGAAGCCATTCCTGAATGACCAAAACCACTGGTATCTCTTGTAGTACCTAAGAGACCATCTTGTTGGACCATCCTTGGAAGTGCAACTTTTTCAAAAATAATCTGGGCAATCCGTTGTCCAGGTTGAATCTGGAAAAGTTTCTTATCGAAATTATAGAGCAAAACCTTAACTTCGCCTCGATAGTCTGGATCAATTACTCCTGCACCTACATGAATCCCATGCTCGAGTGCTAATCCTGATCGAGGTGCAATTCTCCCATACATGCCATATGGAATTTGTAGTGCTATTCCAGTAGGGACAAGACAACGATCTTGTGGTTGAATGAGCATCTTAGTAATTGAACTAAGATCATACCCAACAGCTCCGTCAGTTGCTCTTGAGGGCATCTTTGCTTATGGACATAACTTCACAAAATGAACACTCTGAATTCCTTCATATTCTATCATGCCTTTTTCACGACAGTGTTTGTATGGACATGGAAAATTCTGTCTGGCATGAGTTTGTGTTCGTCGCCGTTGTGCCTTAAAATATAGTTCATCATCAGAATCAGAATTATCTGAGATGATCCTTTGTATCGACTTAGTTGTCAGCTGCGGCTGCTGTGGCTGTGGCTGCTGCGATGTTTCACCACCTTCCGTTAAAACATTGAGGAATTCAATGTTTGGGCGCTGAGGATAATCAGTTTCCACATCGGTAGAAGGTTGATAAGAAGGATCAAAGTTGAGTGGAGTATCCTCTTTATCGTCAGAATGTGGCGGAGTATTGTCAAACTGAATCTTTGTGAAAGATTGGGATAGATCAAAATCACCGTCCCATCCGACAGCAATGGTGTGAGTTTCAGCTTCACGATGAATAGCACTGGTACTGTCATCATCATCAGAATTCATGACCTCGTTATCATTCTGATCATACCGGACTGGTGGCATGTTTGGTGCCGCTTCATAATTACCAAAGCGGATAAAGCATCAGCTAAAGTATTATCAGAACCATTAATGTGTTCTAATGTTACTTCAATGCCTAAACCAGTAATATAATCTGTGAAAGAAATCCATCTTGATCTCGAAGGCTTATGTTCAGCTGTCTTGTTAAAGAAATTGATTATGGCCTGACAATCAGTTCTTAGTGTAAGATGTCCCTTGTCAAGATAATATATCTTGAATGCTTCCAGTGAATTTATGCAAGCATAGATTTCGGCATCTATAGTGGATTTAATGGGACTGAATTTTCCACTAGCATAAGCACAAATTCTTTCTGTTGAATGAGGATCCTTTAATGCCTTCTTCCATTTACAGATTCCTCCCCATCCTTCCATGCAGCCATCGCTGATAAACCTCTGGCAGTTTGTCACTGTGGTGGTTATCACTAACAGCGGCTCGTGCTACGGCTTCAAGCTTGAGCTGTTGTATCTTGACCAACTGTTGGAGAGCTGTTTGGGCTTGTCCCATGGCATCTTCTTCTTCATTGGATAACAAGGCCTGAATTTCTGCATATTCGTCTCCACTGATTCTATGGTCATAAGTGAACCGGTCTTCAAGTCTCTGGAGGAGGGACTGATACCCTAAACATGTTCTGATAAAGTGGGCTTAACATCCGGCCCAAATCTTTAATGTAGCTGCGTGCATAGTTGAGTAAGCCCAACCAAGACCTTAATCCCTTAGTTTCCTTCAGGGTTTCTTCAGAAAAATTGGCCACCTTGGTTATTATATGGGCCTGCAACTTGATTTCTCCATGTCCAATTGTGGATCCCAAGAAATCTATTTGAATTGCAGCAATCTTCATTTTTGTTGGACTTAAGATCAGTCCATTCTTCCTGCAGATCTCAATCATAGCCAAGATGTGCTTCTCATGGGTCTGCTCGTCTGGTGAGAACACCAAGATGTCATCAATATAAACAGCAATGAACTCCTCTGTTCCTTTAAAGCAGACGTCCATCTTTCGTTGGAAAACAGCAGGGGCATTCTTTAAGCCAAATGGCATTACCAACCATTCAGAGTCCTAATGGAGTCCAAAATGCCGTCCATTCGATTGAGTCAGGATGCATTGCAACTTGGTGAAATCCACTCTTTAAATCGAACTTAGAGTAGATTTTACTATGGCCAATCTTTGCCATAATGGTGTTGATTCCTGGCAAACTATACTGATCCTTATGAGTGTTGTCATTGAGCCGTTTGTAATTACAAACCATCCGCTCCTTTCCTCTTTTCTCCTCTTTTGTGATTGGATCAATATAAGTACCTGAATTGACAATAAAAGCAGTAGTTCGATGTCTGCTTTTACTTGCTCGAATAACCTTTAACTCCAGGAGCTGATCTATATGCTTCTTAAAACTTTCCTTCATTGCTGGAGTAACATGCTTCATCCTCTCCTTTCCTCGCTTTTCTTCTTTGGTAACTGGATCAATATAAGTTCCTGAATTGACAATAAAAGCAGTAGTTCGATGCCTGCTCTTACTTGGCCTGATCACCTTTAACTCCAGAAGTTGATCAATATGCTTCTTGAAACTTTCCTTTATTGCTGGAGTGACATGCTTCATTGGTTTATCATCAATGATAAATTCTGCATTCTTCAAGTCCAATTTGCATGTGATCTGGTTTTTCGACCATTGTTTCATAGGATCTTCCCCTATTATTCCACAGCTCTGCAAATACTTCATCAGCTTTGGATGCTTATCTTCAAATTTAGGAGCAAAAGGATTGTGCTCAATAGAGTGAAATATCCATTCTGCTGTTGAGTCATAATAATGATCAATGAGGAAATCTTCATCTACCTCAGCTTCCATGGGGTTGACAGATTGGCGAGTCTGAATTGTTATTACATTCTTGTAGAATGTAACATTGTCGCCTTCGATTCGGACACCACCATACATTGACCTAATAAAATTACAGCCAATGATCATTTGTATTCTTCCGCCAAGGTGGAATGGAAAACTGTACGTATATGGGATTCTGAACCAATTGTCTCCAATATACATTTTTCCTCCTCGCAGCTTCTTATTTGCCTTGGACTGTGAATTTATCCCATTAAATTCCACAGTGTAAGTATTTTCTTCTAATGCTTCTGATGGAACAGATTCTGAATCCACGACACACGTTGTGGCTCCAGTATCAAGGATAGCATTTAGGACAATCTTCTTCTGCACTCCTGGAATCTCGAGTTCGACAGTAAGATTGTATAACATGTTCTTATATTACCCTGCTCGATTCTATGTAGGACTTGAAATCTAACTTGAATAACGCCGAGGTGAACATACTGCATGTGGCTTTGCTGCAGTTCTTCAAAACTTTCAGGTTGTATGAAAGATCTCTCCAACTGTGTGTCTCCTACACAAAGTATGGCTTCTTCAGATCGATGAATATAGACTCGATGATGAGCATCATCTCGCCTTGTTCGATATAGCACTTCAGCTGGTGCTATGCTTGCTCTATCAGCCATAGACAGTTGCAGTTGCGTCTCTGGTGCTATCTCCTGTTCCAGAGTATGTGATGTTGAGGGTCATCCTCGTAATCTTCGAAGTACATCATGAGTTCTTCGCTGAAGAATATGATTCCTTCGTTGATTTCGTCGGTAAGCACGAATTTGATCTTCAAACAGGGGTACTCCTGGTGTTGCTGTTGTTGCTGGTGGTCGATCTGTTACTCTTGGAAGAGTAGTTGTCTGAGTTCGTGAACCGGACGCCATTAAATAGGCTTGAGTTTTAACTTATCTAATTCGTCCTGCAGCAACTTGTTTGGATTCCTGTGAACTCTAAGTAACCCTCTTGGCTCTTTGGGTCTTTCCTTTGGTCCGAGTGAAAGATTCTCGAGCTTTGTGATTAAGGACTCAGGGAGTGCTTCCACCTTTGACTTCTGAGCTTCCAAAGCTCTGATTCTTGCTTCAAGTGCCTGCACCTGTTGTGACAATTGAACCTTTTTCTCCTTGACTTCTCCTTTTGCGATTGTCTCCATCATCAGAAGTTGTTCAGAGGCTTCTGCTTCTTCTTCTAGGGCTTGTAGGTCTTCAGCCTTGAATTTACCTCTTCTTCGAAGATCTTGTTCATCTTTCTCCAGTTGAACTTGGAGTTTTAACTCTTCCAGCTCAGTCTTGTATTGGATTGCCTCTTCCCGTAGCCGTTTCATTTCTGCCTCGCACCACCTGATGTACTCCTGCTGTTCTTGGAGTAGTGGCTTCTGGTTATATGGGATTGGCGGCTTTTGCATGACGAATTTTGCAAATCCAAAATAATGATTGGCACATAACGCACATGTTAGAGCGTTACATTGATCTTCAAACAGGGGTACTCCTGGTGTTGCTGTTGTTGCTGGTGGTCGATCTGTTACTCTTGGAAGAGTAGTTGTCTGAGTTCGTGAACCGGACGCCATTAAATAGGCTTGAGTTTTAACTTATCTAATTCGTCCTGCAGCAACTTGTTTGGATTCCTGTGAACTCTAAGTAACCCTCTTGGCTCTTTGGGTCTTTCCTTTGGTCCGAGTGAAAGATTCTCGAGCTTTGTGATTAAGGACTCAGGGAGTGCTTCCACCTTTGACTTCTGAGCTTCCAAAGCTCTGATTCTTGCTTCAAGTGCCTGCACCTGTTGTGACAATTGAACACACAATTCTATTATAGTGTTATTTTGTCGAATGAGGGTTTTAAACCCTATAGGTGTAGTGATGTTTGCGGCAGTTGTTGAAAGACCGATGCCTGGTGCTTCTGTTAATTCTGACAACCTCAGGGCCTTCTGATATACCAAATCGTCTTGGGTCATTCGATGAGTGCTCCCTTGATTTGTTGAAGAAGTGCTTCTATAGGTTTCAGCTGGGCCTTAGTTGAGCTAGTGGTTTGATTTTCAAGACAAACCTGAGCTAAGGAATTAACTCCTTGTTCAAGTTTTTTATCTTTTATGGGTCTATAAATAGAGTCGAAGTTTAGAAACTCAAGCATCAAGAGAAGTTAGAACAACTACACTTGTATACTTGAGATAGAGTGAGTAAATCAGTCTTCCGCTTGTAGCTCCAGCTTGTAATCTTAGCTTATTCAGGTCTGTAAAATTTCTATATAGTTCTTATTTTACTTATCCTGTTTAGTTGAGATTTTCTACGATCCTCCATTTGGTATCAGAGCTAGTTTTGTTTATGGCTAACTAATTCTCATTCAGGATAGCAAAGGCCTCTGATGGTATGATATTTTATTCCAAACTGATATATTTAATTTCTAAAGTTTGTATCTAATGAATTATTGCGAAAGATAATCTTATGCATATCAAGGCAAAAGTATTGATTTATTGCAAAGGTAAAGAGAGGGATTAATGCAAAAACTTTTTAAAGATATCCTTAGAACTCACCTTTTTGAAGGGCTTACTGCGGCCTCCTGCCTTGTTGCCTTCTTACGTCTTTTGTTCAAAAATATCTCAAGAAAATTATTAAACCTTAAGATAAATATAGATAAAGTTTTTAAAGATATCCTTAGAACTCACCTTTTTGAAGGGCTTACTGCGGCCTCCTGCCTTGTTGCCTTCTTACGTCTTTTGTTCAAAAATATCTCAAGAAAATTATTAAACCTTAAGATAAATATAGATAAAGTTTTTGCATTAATCCCTCTCTTTGCCTTTGCAATAAATCAATACTTTTGCCTTGATATGCATAAGATTATCTTTATCTTAGTAATTCATTAGATACAAACTTTGAAAGTAAAATATATTAGTCTAGAAATGAAGATGCCGAAATCTATGCTTGCATAAATTCACTGGAAGCATTCAAGATATATTATCTTGACAAGGGACATCTTACACTAAGAACTGATTGTCAGGCCATAATCAGTTTCTTTAACAAGACAGCTGAACATAAGCCTTTGACAAATTGGTTGTCTTTGAAGAAGCAATTGTATGCGCTTCAAATGATAGAAGGAGCGAACCTTACAGAACATCTGCACTCCTGGAATCTCGAGTTCGACAGTAAGATTGTATAACATGTTCTTCTTTTTCTCCTTGACTTCTCCTTTTGCGATTGTCTCCATCATCAGAAGTTGTTCAGAGGCTTCTGCTTCTTCTTCTAGGGCTTGTAGGTCTTCAGCCTTGAATTTACCTCTTCTTCGAAGATCTTGTTCATCCTGTTGAATGAGGATCCTTTAATGCCTTCTTCCATTTACAGATTCCTCCCCATCCTTCCATGCAGCCATCTGTTTCAAGGATAATGACGCACCCCTCGGGTGGTATTGACAGATTTGGTAGAGTTTGGATCTGTCTTTTGATTTCTCGAATCAAGCTCCAATCCTGTGAGTTGAGACGCCTTTCTCCTTTTGGGCTGACCTTCTTTTGTTCAAAAATATCTCAAGAAAATTATTAAACCTTAAGATTTTCTCTATAAAAGGCTGTGTCTAGTATTAGTTCAAGTATGAAAAGAAGTTAGAACAACTACATTTGATACTTGAAGTCTAGAAAAGTTTGAAGTTTCTGTAATCAAGTTTTCCAGTGTTCTAATAAAAGTTTGAAGTTTCCGCTGTTTTCTGTAAGTAAGGTTTCTATCTAGTTCTTTACTTAATTTTTGAGATCCTGTCTTGTAAGGTTTCTATCTAGTTCTTTACTTAATTTTTGAGATCCTGTCTTGTAAGGTTTCTATCTAGTTCTTTACTTAATTTTTGAGATCCTGTCTTGTAAGGTTTCTATCTAGTTCTTTACTTAATTTTTGAGATCCTGTCTTGTAAGGTTTCTATCTAGTTCTTTACTTAATTTTTGAGATCCTGTCTTGTAAGGTTTCTATCTAGTTCTTTACTTAATTTTTGAGATCCTGTCTTGTAAGGTTTCTATCTAGTTCTTTACTTAATTTTTGAGATCCTGTCTTGTAAGGTTTCTATCTAGTTCTTTACTTAATTTTTGAGATCCTGTCTTGTAAGGTTTCTATCTAGTTCTTTACTTAATTTTTGAGATCCTGTCTTGTAAGGTTTCTATCTAGTTCTTTACT